TTTACATTTTTACTTTTAATTTTAATTTTTCCTTAGTTTTCTTTTAAATTAGGATTTAATTAATTTTTGAAATTTAATTAGTTTAATTTTAGAGTGAAATCAAGTCTTTTAATTGATTTTGTATTTTCTACAAAAAATCAAAAAAAAGAAGAATAAAAGCAAAGGAAAGAAAATTAAAGGAAAATGGGGTCTTGTTAAAAGACCCAGTTTTGGGCCAAATATGCCCCCAACCCAGCCCCAAACACAAAACCCTGAGACCGGAGCCCAAGCCAAACCCCCCCAAACCCGGTCTCGATCCAGTCCAAACCCAATACTCGGTCCAACCTTTGTTATATCAAAATGACGTCGTTTAATGGCCTTTGAACCATGACTGTTGGATCTCATCAATCCAACGGTCCGGAACTAACTAGGATGTTTGATATATAAATGTCCTAATAACCCCCCTACCCCCAAAATCATCTCTCAGAACACCCCTGTTACACAGCACCACCCTCCGCCGCCTTCCGCCGTCTGCCGCCGGCCGGAAATTGCCTCCGCCGGCGGCGATTAACCAATCACTCCCAAAAATACACCACTGCTTCCTCTCTTCATCCTCATTACGAATCCAGCCTCATTTTCTTTCAAATCCCACCCTAATTCATCGAGTAATCAAACCCTAACACCGCCTCCGCCGTACACGGCGGTGCCGCCACCCAAACCCAACCAAAATCACACCCCATGGCCTCCTCGACCCCCTCTTCCCAAATCCCAAACCAAAACTATGCAAATCCAGGTTGAACCCTTCGAATTTTAGATCTAGGGTTTCATTCAAGACGGGTCAAATTTTTCAAAGCTCATCAGTGTTTGATTTGAGTTCCAAATAAGGTTATGTGCGTTCTTGGCAAGAACAAGCATATAACATTATTTGGGGATTCGATTCAGGGTCAGTCGATTAGGAAGCCAGAAATCAGTAAGTCTTTCTTTCTTTGTTTGATTTTCTTTTTATTTCGTTTAGTTTTTGTTTATTTTTTCTTCTTTGCTTTTGCATTAACAACTTCGTTCAATTATGGTATCCACTCTTTAATCAATCACTTTTCATGTTAATTGATTTTAGAATTCTTAGGGTTTTAATTGATTTTGTTCCGTTAATTCTGTCTTATTTTGTTTTTATTTTTGTTTAATTTTTGTTTCTGTTTTTGATTTTCTGTTGGTTTGTATTTAGTGTTTTGGTTTCGTATTAATTGTATTCCATTGAATTGTTATTGTTAATTTTGATTTTTAGTTTCAATTTCTGTTTGTTTACTATTAAATTTCACTTGCTTTATCTTGGATTTATAAT